TTACCGCTTCTGTTTTATAATACCCTCAAGCCCCAACAATAAAACGACAACCACCTTTATCGTTCAAATTCATATATAATGCAGAAATTTTCAGAATTGGACACTTTAAAGCGGATTTTTTTTCTTCACATTATTGATAAAATAAAGGCTTCAGGGTTTATTTTATCAGAATTCATAGTTTGAAATATATAATGTCAACGACATCAGGTTGCAAATATATAGGGATTATAAATCAGAGTTTGTGGCAAAAACTCAAATTCCTTTGTATGATATATTTTTATTTAATTACGCTTGACTCTAGTGTTTTTTTTTCAAAATTCATTCGCTTTAAAACTTTTGAAAACTTATTGTTCACTTAATCTTTGCAACCTGATGCCGTAGACCTTGGATAATTCAAATTATGAACTCTGCTAAAGAATAAGAAGCCAAAAATAACGTAAGTTCTTTTTCAATTTACAAAAATATTTATGTTTTAATAAAAAAAAAAGCGTTAACACAAAACATTATTAAAGATACACAAATCCTAGATCAAAGAAACAAATTTAATGAAATTCAATAAAGAAAGAAATTTGTCCCTTTTCATCACTCAAATTCTCTTTGACTCATTTCAATTTACCTTCAATCTATCTTCTTTTTCCCACTCATCTATCTATTTTTTCCCACTCATCTATCTACTTTTTTCCACTCATCTATCTTCTTTTTCCCACTCATCTATCTTCTTTTTTTCTTTCATCATCTATTCTCTTTTTCTCCCACCATCTTCTATTCTCTTTTTCCACCTCATCTATTTTTATTTTCTCATTCTAATTGTCTTTTTCTCACTCCAATTCTTTTCACTCATTTCTATTCTCTTATTTATTAATTCCAATTATTTTTTCACTTATTCAAATTTTCTTTCTTTCTAAAATTCTGTTTCACTCTTCCTAATCTATTTCTCTAACTCAAAATCTCTGAACACCTTTCTCTCGGTCATTTTTTCCTTTCACTTTTATTCTCTTATATTTTCTCTGATATTGACTATTACATAATATTATTTAGAATATTTATATTATATACAAGTTTCCTGAAGTACGGCCTCGAAAGAAATTGCAGCGTAGTAAAGTCTAAAGGCCAAACAAAACATGTAGAGCTGGAAGGGGGACTAATGTGGATAATTAAACACTTTAAAACTATTTTCAACACTTAATACCCCCCTTTCCCCCTCTTTAGAGATTGAAAAATAAGATATATCAATAAAAAATGAGGAAAGGAAAAATTTAGTATTTACGTCAAATTAAGGAAAAAATCAAACTAAAAGAGACTTTTTATGTGTACCTTTATCTGAGTATCACGTT